TAGCTTTTATTCACATCTGTAAACTTCATAACAATTGTATACTCTGTGCTTGTAAATATATTCCTCTTTTGCATCCTTAAAACATTTGAATCTGCAGGTTTATCTGCTGGTGCAGTTACCTGCATCCTATCCATCAAGAATATATAGTATTCACCACTCGTAACCACAGTTTTGAGGAAAATTTCAAATATAAATATTTATAAAAATATTGATTCCCTCACATTGTCAAACATGAAACCTCTGCAACATCACCTAAGGTATCCATATATATATATCCATATATATATATATATATATATATATATATATATATATATATATATATATATATATATATATATATATATATATATATATATATATATATATATATATGCATACATACTCATATTTGCATATGTAAATGTGTGGGCTTCTATTTAGCACCAGCTGGAATATAAGTAAAAGAAGTAATATGATATGAAATGTACAACTCATACATACAGAAGAATTCTCCCAATCCTACTAGCATTAAAAATATAGTTAATTAAATCCCTGTTATACTTTCTATACAAGTACATATACAGAATATAACCCCATCCTTATAAAACCTTAAAACTACTTAACACTGGATCACTGATTCAATATAACAGGATAAGTGATGCTTTCACAGTTGTAAGTACAGCCAGAAGATATAAATAAAACATATTCATGACACTGTCAATGATCAGAAACGACAGCCCTGCAGAATTTTCCAAGGAACTTTAAAACTGAATAATACCCTACATATTAAAATACACCAGTAAGCATCTTCTAAAAATAATGCAGAGTGATTACGTAAAACCATCATTTTTTTTTTCTGATATGAAAATGTAATATTACAATACAATTCCTATACTGGTATGATATATGAATTGCCTGCACATGTCAAATGATAATAGTAGAATTAATGATCATTATTAACATTATCACAACATTAAACTGAATATACCATTTCAATAACATCAACAAAAACAGTGGTAATAAATGATAATCTTCAGAGTTTTGGTCTTTTTCCCTTTTCAACGAAAGTCTCCTCCGGATCACACAGCCATGGACTTCAGCTCCACGTCTTCGTCCTCCGTTGGCACCAGCATGTGACCTTGCCTCATAGGTCTTCGTAAAGACCCGAATACCCTAGGAAAATAGAATGTAATTTAATGGGAAGTTCACCGACTCCGCTAAGCAAGTAAAATGTTCTCTCTTTTTTCTAGCTAATGCATACGTCTCGGGGTGTATTAGATGGGGCTAAGCTAACAGGCAATAAAAGGTGATAAACATACAAGGTTTGTTGTTAGACTTGGCAATCAAGTTAATCACAAAATTGAGGAAAGCATTTGCAAGAGTTACGAGTCTCCTAAGACTAGATTAGGGAAAGTAACAGATTAGGGCAAGATTTGGTAGCAATAAGAAGGCACTATGAAAGAAAAGCATCACGTCACATGCACTTACAACCGGTTGCAGCAAGCAGTTATGACCACTTTACAGCTGCACCACCAGAGACTCCGATGGCACCAAGGTAGGCTTGTGTACTTCATCCCAATCACCACCACCAAAATCCTCAAATAACCCCCCTCCTTCCTCATGGTTAGTCTCTACTGCGTTCAGTAGCTGCTCCATCTCTGCATCGCTCTCACCTCCTAACTGCACACCAGTCATGGCGTTGAACCTGCAAGGTTCCCAGTCATGCTACATTGCTTCTTTGGGTCTTTCTTTGTCAGTCGAGAGAAGCTAGTAAGTGTTACTCGATTATTCTTTGTTTTAGATCTGCCACCACTTACCTCATGCACTGTTCATTATAGGTTAATGATCTGCAGCCATGCAAATAGGCATCGGTAAAAGAATCATTGTGCAGAAAGTGTCCAATACAGTATACATTGACCATAGTGAGTCAAAACACATAATTAAGGAATCATTACAATTATTATTATTATAACTATTATAATTATTTCTGTTGTACATAATCATATAACTGAGCATATCTAATCAAAATATTCCATGATCAAAGACATATTAATCAAACCAATATTAATTATCAATCATGAACCTTAACCTACACTTACTCTAGTTAAATAATGCTTGTACAAAAGGTGAACCAACTAGATTATACACAACTGAGCCTTCAAGATACCTGGCTTTGAGGGACTGGGTATAGCTGCATGAACATTTCCCCCCAAACCTCATGCCTGCGCACTGGCAAGACGGTCTGCCAAGCCGGTAAATACCTTGGAGATTGTCTTTCACTCTGGAGGGAGGTAAGGAATACACACACAAAAATTGACGAATGTCTGCAAAATACACCTGTGAGACTGAGCATAAACCTAACTGTGATGAGAAAATGAAGATCTGGCTGGACATCATGGGTGTAAACTGGTGTGTTTACGATTCATTAGTGGCAGACAAGGCCAAACCGAAGCAGAGGATATGTTCCCACAATGAGAGAGTCCTTACATGCAGCATTCTTGGACCATTGTGAAGACCC